TATATCATAAAGGGGTGATCTGTGTTTTTACTACAATACCTCATCCTACATCCTTCGCAAAGATTATAATTCTGTCACAGAAGTTTTATGTCATAATGATTACAGACATGTTCTTATTTCTTATCTTCAGGAATATTTTTATTTTCAGAAAGGAAGATATGTATCGATAACCATAGAATACTTTATGGAAGCTATGGTTGTCTTCACCAAATTAAAAAGCTCAAAGATGAATGGTTCTGGTAACTACAGAGTGGTCAAATGGTTAGGATGGGGAGAGATAATTACTAGGACAGTTTTACAGCTTAATAACTAGCTTAAACCCTGTTTTCAGATCCTGAGCTGTATTTGATAGTATTTGAAAGCAACTTGTATTAGTACATGGAAAACAATGTCTGAAAGCTCTCAGATGCCACTAGAAAACTGGAGACAGAGAAAACAACAAACAATAAAACATAATTTTAAAGGATCAGGCTCATTAGATGATTAGGCCAATAGATGGCAAATGCAGCTCCAAAGAAGGAAATCTAAAATAATTTAGCTTGTGGGAGACAGAAATCCAGAGAACAACTGTGGAAGCCTAACTCGAAAATGAGATGGCAGCAATCAGTCCTTTCGATGCTGTCACACTGCACATGTGGACAGACAGGAAGAGAGTCAGAGCATGGCAGGGACTCAGGGTTTGGAAGACTGTTACCCTAGCTCAGGTGCCTAGGCTAAGGGAGGCTCTATTCCATGCTTCTGTAATTGCCAAGACAAGAAAGAAGGACATGGCCAACTGTGTTCTAGCTCTTTAAGCTTCTGCCTAAAAGTGGCAATAATTCCTTCCACTCACATTTCATTGATCAAAACAAGTCATATGGCTACACATAACTTCCAGGGAACAGAATATGACCAGAAGAAGAACTGCAAATATTTAGTGCATAGCCCTGCCTACTACAGTAGTCTGTTGAATTTAAATATTTCCTGTTACTGAATAAACTTGAAGCTAAGATTTACCTTAAATATTTTGGCCGCTTCCTGTAAATTTTAGAATCTCCTTTTTTAATGGTTATTTGGTTATACATTCATTGAGGTTATGCCTTTGGCTCATGTGTAATTTTTTTTTTTTTTTCCTTTTTGTCTTTTTTCGTGACCGGCAACGGATCGCAACCCTCAGTGTCGCGCCCGTACCGGACCAGGACCGACAACAGGATTGCAACCTTCGGTGTTGCACCCGCACCTCGCTCAGCCAGTGAGCGGCCGGTCTGTATGTGGGATCCGAACCCTCGGCGGGAGTGCCACTGCACTCCCAAGCGGCACACTGTAGCAGTGCACCACTGGGCCGGCCCTTACTATTTATTCCTAATTGCATTGTCATTAAAGATCACAGTCTGTATAAATCTGAGTCATTGAAATTTGATGGGACTTCCTTTGTAGCTTAGTACACGATCAATATATGGAACTGTTCCATGTATACTTGAATAGCATGTATATATTCTTTTTGCTGGCTAGAGAGTGTATATACATATATATGTATATATATATATATATATATATATACACGCACATATATAACTTACATAAATATATAACACTTATCTAAACATATTTATATGTATAATAACATATGTATTTGTTTGAAATCAGATTGCTTATTTATGTGATTCAAATCTTCTATAGTCTTACTTATGTATCGATTACTGATAGAAAAATATTTAAATGTCCTATTATGGTAACATATATAAAAAGATATATCTGTTATTTTATATATTTTATGCATACATATTCATGATTTATATCTTCTTTGTGTATTGTTCCATTTATTATCATGTCATGTTCCCTCCATCTCTTTTCTGATATTTTGCCTTAAAACATATTTCACCTGGGCCGGCCCGGTGGCGCACTGCTACAGTGCGCCGCTTGAGAGCGTGGCGGCGCTCCCGCCGAGGGTTCGGATCCCACATACAAACCGGTTCCCGCTCACTGGCTGAGTGAGGGGCGGGCGGAATGTCCTGCCTGCTAAGTGTGACTTTGTTCACCTGGGTGCCTTGGGACCCAACAGATATTGTAATTTATGGTGGGGAAGTTGGACCACACAGTATCAGCTTTACCCGTAATAACTTCGTATAGCATACATTATACGAAGTTATACGAAGGACAGAGACTTTAGAATCCAATGGGTACTTCTTCAGTATCCTTATTATTGTTGCTTAAAGTTTTAGTTTCCCCTTTTGTGAGCACACACTCGGGTACACACAAATAGTTTATTTAACAGTAAATAATTCAATTACTAACTTAGCAAAAAATCAATTTACATGTTCGTTTTTTTCTTTTATCTCTGTCTTACCTCTGGGTTTGTTTCCCCCTTCTAAAACTTTTTTTTCTTTTACCTGTTTGTTTGTTTTCAGTAAGGATCTGTGGGGAAAATGTCTCTATTTCACCCTCATCCTTAAATGAGATTTAGCTAGGTATAAAATTCTAGGTAGGTAGATTTTTTTTTCCCTAAGAACTTTAGTGATATAATTTTATTTCTTCTGGCAGCCACTGGTAATGTCTAATTGTAGGTTATCTGTCTTTTCTCTGTGTTAGATTTCAATAATATCTAGATTTCAATAATCTCTATTCTATTATAATATGTCTAATTATACATTTGCTGTATTTATCTGGAGTACGTTTTCAATCTGACAGCTAGTATCTTTTATCAATTCTGAAAATTCTCACTTTTTATCTCTCTGCTTGTTGCTTCTGCCTTTTCCTCTGTTCTCTTCTGGGATTCCTTGTGTGAGTGTGCGCGCACACGAGTGCACATGTTTATTCATTTATCGAATCATTCATTCATTTGTATATATCTCCATATCGATCTACCTTCATATCTCTCAATTGTTCTTTTGAATGTTTTTTTCTCTCTATCTCTCTGCTATATTCTGGGTGAATTCTTTAGTACTACCTCTCAATCCATTTGTAGTGCTTTGATTATTTCAGTTTAGAGTTTGTCCAGTCTACTGAGTTTTAAAAATTATTTTTCTCAGAACTTTCCCTGTTTCTTCAGAATGATATTACTGTTTTATGTATCTCATTGATAACTCTAAGCATACTTATTCTAATGTCTTTTTTAAATGACTTTTATTTTCATTTTGTCTGAAATGATTTTATTTCCCAATATTTGATTTTACTTGCCATCTTTCTTTGTGTTAATTTTCTTTATATGCTTTAGAATTTTGGTTTTTAGATCCGCCTTGACTTGGTGCTGCTTTTCTTTCTCTCTCTCTTCCTCCTCTCTATTTAGAGGTTTTGTGATTGCCCCAGCCTAGCCCCTAAGACTCATAGTCCCAAACTAGATCATCTTTTGGGAACAGTTTAGAGTTACATATGTTGGCTAGGTTTGGCCATGAAAGTTGAGTGTGTCCTGCTGTCTTCGGTGGCACTCAGACTCTCGTAAGCTGTAGCTATGGGAAGCAACTGGCAGCACCTTTTGTTGCTGCCTCTCTTCCTAGGGTGGGGGGAAAGAAAGAGGGAGGAGAGGGATTCGCCACTCCACCCCACTTCTCCCTGGCCCGGAAGCAACTGGCAGCACCTTTTGTTGCTGCCTCTCTTCCTAGGGTGGGGGGAAAGAAAGAGCGAGGAGAGGGATTCGCCACTCCACCCCACTTCTCCCTGGCCCTGGGAACTGGTTCCCTCACTGCCTCTGCTGCTTCTGTCTTGAGAATGACAGTCCCAAGACTTTTTTCTACATTTCTCTTCAGTCTCTCATTCATAAAGAAGATTATCCTGTTCACTTTATTTTATTTTTTTCTCCCACAGTGTCTCAGTCTGTTTTATGCTGCTAGAACAGAGTACCACAGACTGGGCAATTTATAATGAACATAAATATATTTGGCACACAGTTCCAGAGACTGGGAAGTCCAAGAGCATAGTGCTGGCATCTGGTGAGGGCCTTCTTGCTGCATCATAACATGGTGCAGGCATCACATAGGTGAGAGAGAGCATGTGAGAGAGCAAAAGGGGGTCAAACTTGCTTTTATAACAAACCCACTCTTAAATGACTAACTGCATTAATCTGTTTTCTGTTGCTTATAACGAATGCTTGAAACTGGGTAATTTATAAGAAAACAAAATTTATTTTTTATAGTTTTGGAGGCTGGGAGGTCCAAGGTTGAAGGGTACATCTGGTGAGGGCCACCTTCTTGGTGGGGATTCTGGTCACAGTCTTGTGACAAAGAGGGTATCACATGGCAAGACAGCATTTTCATATCCTTTCTTCCTCTCCTTATAAAGCCCCCAGTGTACTCCCTGATAACCCATTAATCCATGAATGGACTTATCCATTCATGAGGACAGAGTCCTCATGATCCAATTACTTCCCAAAGGCCCCACCTTTCAAATACCATAGCCTGGTTTCCCACCTCCTTAACACTGTTGCAATGGGAATCAAGCTACAACAAGTCTTGGGTGGACATTCAAACTACAGCACTAACCCGCTTCCACAATAACAGCATTAATTGATTCACGAGGGCAGAGTCCTCATGACCTAATCACCTCTTGTAGGTCCCAGCTCTCAACACTGTTGCATTGGAGATTAAGTTTCTAACACATAAACTTTGGAGGATGCATTCAAACCACAGCACATCATCATAGGTAGCTCAAAGTGTAAACTTTGAATGTCATTTTGATAAAAGGTCGACACTCTTTTATAAAAATGAAAGAGTGCCTGGTAACCCCATTTCTCAATAGATGTCTGACTGTGTGCTCTCTCTGCATGTCACAGCTCCAGTTCAACATGAACCTCTAGTGCACTGAACACTATAAACTGTTGAATCAGCATGCCTCCATCTCTGCTCAAAGAATGAGAAGTTAAAGTAGTTTTAAATTTCTCCATCTTTTATAAAATCCAAAAGGTAAATTACATAAAACATTTTTCTAATAAAAAGAAAAACAGCAATTTTTCACACTAATTCAGGTATAGTGATTTAACGTCCTGTATCGGTTGGAAGAGTGCACTGGGCAGAGTGGTTGCTGCTTACCTCTCTCTCTGCTACTGCCTCTTGGAAGTTGGAGCCTCATGACTCCTCTTTCCACATACTGGTCATCAGTGAAGGAAAGCTGATAAAAATGAGGTGTCAGCTTACAAAAAAATCCACTGTTTAATATGAGTTGTAATGGACTTTGAAACCTAGGATAAATGATACTTCAAAAATAAACAGCTCAGAATCATACTTGTGTTGTTTTTCTCCCTTTTTTGGCAAAGAATGGAATGGAGAAGATGAGGGAGGTTTACATTTGGACTTGTTTAAAATTTTAAAAAGCTGTTCTTTTAAATTTACCATCTGTTACTTCAGTGCTTCAAAGTGGCTATGGTAACTGGGGACACCAGACAGAACCATAGTGTAATTGGGTATGGCTTGACCCCTACCGTGCCTTTCTCATGGAGTGAGACCAGCTCATTGTAAGTCTTGTCACATTAGGGGAGAGTTTCTCTGCAAATATGTTAGCTTTCTGATTAATGCACAGCAGAAATAAGAATTAGTTATAGACATTCTTGTTTGTCACTTGAGTTATAAGGTGCTAATTCTGAGAAGAAAATTCTACCATCCCCCTGAGCTAGACTTCCACACATACTGCAGTATTTCAGCAATTTTGTGCAGATCTTAAATAACACCAAGTAAATATGTTTAAGACAGGCAGTTAGTATTTAAGAAAGAATGATCCATATCATTGCCAGTTTTCAGATTCCATCCTTTCCCTGGAGGCACTTTTTTTTGAGTTGAAGAAATTATCAGAAATACATTGTTGGTTGTGGTGCTGACATGGTTATTTTGATGTGTGATGTGTGCACTGTGGGATAAAGCAAATGAACATTATGTTTGTGTCATTGAGAGCTGGTGTTAATAGTATGGGAGAAAGATATCCACTAAGATTTATGAGTTTAACCTTAGAGTCCTGAATTGAATTGAATTTTACTAAAAGTAAAAATACCTATATTTATTTTTTGCACTATCCACTGAAGTGGCCTACAGGTATTGACCAACCCAATAGAATGAGTAATGCTAGTGGCTAATTATGGTCTTTAAATATCATCTACCACTAAAAGAAATGGGGTTCTTGAAAAAAAAGAAAAAGGCCAATTGGAGGTCTAAGATAGGAAACATACTAAGATGAGCCTGAGAATTCTTATAAAAAACTAGTAGTGTCAAAAAGACTCAGAAGCCAAGTTGAATAAGCTCCTATCATCCAAAGATGGGACCATTTAAGTATCAATGAAGATAATAACTGTCTTGCATTAAAACACATCAAGTATGTTTAAATGTATGCATTCAAAATGATACTTAAATAGTATCTTTGCAGAATATAAGGACTTTGACATTATTTTGAAAACTGGTAAGTAAAGTATAAAGTATCCTTCGTGCCTTTTCTATTCAAATACAAGGTAACCAAATTATTGATGAGACAAAGTACCTTTTCATAGAAGTGTTCTGGCTTACAAAAGAAAAAGGGAAAATAGAATGAGAAATCGCACTTTGAAATCTCTAATGAATTACTAACATCACAAAATGAGAGACAGACATTATGTGCCTCTAATGAAAGTACCCAATATCACTGAAGAAGTAGCCTTCACACACACACACACACACACACACACACACACACACACACACACACACCACTGCCACCACCACCACCAAAACTGAATTTGATACCATCTCAAGACATCGACCCAATATCACTGAAGAAGTAGCCTTCACACACACACACACACACACACACACACACACACCACTGCCACCACCACCACCAAAACTGAATTTGATACCATCTCAAGACATCGAAATACAGAGGCTGAGAAATACGTATAAAACAAAGCAAAATGAAAAACACAAACTGCAGAAAACTACAAGTGACCCAGCTTCTGCTGCTTCTGCTTTTTCTCCTCCTCCTCCTCCTCCTCCTTCTACAAAAACAACCACAAAGTTGCAAGGGGAAAATAAGTGATGGAGGAGAAACTTGTGCACTAAAAGAGACAAAGGCATATTAACCGATTGCCATGTATAGAGATTGTTTGAATCATAATTCAAACAAACTTAAACCGAAAGAGAACATTTATAGAACAATTTGGAAAATGTGAGCACTACCTGGATATTTGAGGAGATTGAGGAATTATAGCTGATGTGGGAGATACATGGTTGATATTGTGTCATATTCTAAAAATATAAACATAGTAAATGTACTACATTTAGTATACTGTGTTAACAGCCATTGCACCAGTCTCCTAAGGCCAGAGTAAAGTGGGGGTAGGGTGGGGATGGAAGAGCAGAGGGGTCATGGAGGTAGAAAAGGCAGATTTGTTGCTCTCTTTTGCCAGAAGAATAAACTATGAAGCATATTTCAAATTTGGTTTCATTTCACCCTGAAGCATGTGTATGAGGAGTTTAACACAGGAATTGGTGAACTGTGAAAGCATGCACATAGTGGAAAAAATTTCTCTATAGTTCATTTTTTTCTACTACTCATAGTGCACTGAAACATCACAGTGGATTTAAGCACCTCCACATATGTTAGAATTGACAGAAAAAAAGTCTTAATACCTTATGAAAGTTACCTACACATGTATATGCCTGCATTTCAGAATTTTGTGTTTGTTAAGCTTTGGTAGAACACTTAGGTTTTTTTCCCCTTTTTCTCCTTAAATTAACCATACAGAATTAAGTTAGAAGACAACCATAGGATTAAAAAAATAAACAAAAAGAAATCTTCCATCCTGAATATTTTGATGCTAACACTTTTTCATTTTTCCTCCTGTAGTATATATTTTCCTTATCATATCAAAGTATCATGTAACTAAACACTTCAATAGTATATTTCTATAGTATTTCAGAATGATTCTGCATCCACTCAACAATTGTTGAAAATTTTCCCAGGTTGTGACATCTCTGATGAGATGAGATATGAGATCCAGGTATGTAAAGTGCCTAGAAAACAGCTGGTGCCCAGTTGCAGTGAAAGTTATGTTTGTGTCAAAAAACATTATTAGTATGGGAAAATGCTTTAATTTTATCCATGTCCTTGCCTGTCAAAGAAAATCTGCATTGGTAAGCCCAGTTTTCCACCCCTTCGCACCTCCTAAAGGGGAAGAATAATTTTGTGCTGAATTTAAGCCTAAGTCAATTTACTGAAGGATGCGATGAGAGAGAGCAGAGAAGAAGGCTGGGGGGTGGTTTTAAGAGTTTTGAGGGTGGGGGTTGGGGTTGGTGATGAGAGAAGTAGAAGAAGAAAGGGGATTTTAATAAAAGTGGATGTGGAGTATGTATTTGGATCCCCTTGGCCGTCCTTTGAGAGTCACTGGTAAAAAATGGAATTCTTTTTAATTACGTTTCAAGAGTTGAACTACCCTTCTTGAATATAGCACTGTTATAGCTCTGAACTCAGAGCACCTCTGTATTTACAAGGCTTATACTATCAACATGAAAGTTGTGTAGAAAAGGATTAACCTTGACCCAAAAGAGGTTTGCCTTGCCCTAGCTCCTCGTAGATAACTTCTAAGTCCTTGGAATGTCCTGCCTGCTAAGTGTGACTTTGTTCACCTGGGCATCAACATGAAAGTTGTGTAGAAAAGGATTAACCTTGACCCAAAAGAGGTTTGCCTTGCCCTTGCTCCTCGTAGATAACTTCTAAGTCCTTGGAATGTCCTGCCTGCTAAGTGTGACTTTGTTCACCTGGGTGCCTTGGGACCCAACAGATATTGTAATTTATGGTGGGGAAGTTGGACCACACAGTATCAGCTTTACCTCTGGAGGGACTGGAGACTAAGGTCAGCCATGCAGGTGATCAATAATGTCTCCATGACTGAACCCCAATAAAAACTCTGGACACTGAAGCTTGGGTGAGCTTCCCTGGTTCCCTACTCAGTGCATATTGTCACACATCACTGCTGGGAGAAATAGGTATTGTCCACACAGCTCCACTGGAGGAGGACAACTGAAGCTTAGCACCTGGTGTCTACTGACACTGCCCTGTGTGATGCTCCTCTTAGCTGATTTTAATCTGTATCCCCTCTCTGTGATAAATTGTAACTATGAGCATAACAGCTTTTCTGAGTTCTGTGAGTCCTTTTAGTGAATTATCAAAACTGACCATAGTCTTGGGGACCCCTCAAACTTGTTGTTTTGTCAGAAGTGAAGGTGCTGCTGGGGACTCCTAATCTCTGGAGTTGATGTCAGAAGTGAGGGTCATCTTGGGGACCCACACTTTGCAGAAGTGTATTGTGAAATATATTTCTACACACTAATGTAAAGCGAAAGTATTTACGGAAAAGCCTAAAAGTGAAAAAGACAACTACACTTAGAAAGGAACAAGACTAGAATTGAAGATTTAGAAGCTATACTTCCAGAGGAAATATTAGAATACATAGTCAAAATAGCAAAATATGGAAAATAATATGGCTCTGAAAGGAGAAAAATCTTAATGTATTTCTTTAGTTATAGTAAATTGAAGGCACATAATGGATATAATACATTATAACTTTGATAAAATTTTTATTTGGTCCTAGGGTTTGATGATTTAAACATTTCATGTTAAATAGACTCCAAGAGGACTGTAAGTGTAACTAATTGAATAGTGATACATTCAGAATACAAAAAGTAACTTGTAAAAGATGAAATCTATACAAATGCAAGCTAGGACAGAACTTAGTTTTCAAATATATGCCACAAAATTGATCCAGACAAATAAAAGCCACAAGTTAAGTAGGAGTTAGCAGTGTGTCACTGTAATTCTAAAAGTTAATAAAATACTGCATTATCCTAACAAGAGAATGGCAAGTAACTCCTAGTCTGTCACTGTATTCTACTCTAGTGGGATCATTTTTAGATTATTGTATTCATTTATAAATCCCATATATAGTGAAAGAGACTTTAGCATACTGGGTTCCAATCTGAGCTTTGCTACTGACAAATTGGATATGTCACGGAATTGGTCAAGGGCTCAGGTCTTCAACTCTCTCCATCTCCAGAGCCTATAAATTGAGGACATCAGGTCAGAATCATACCTGATTGACCACATAGATCTAA